CTGTGAGGGGAGACCTGTGAGGAAGAGACCTGTGAGGGGAGACCTGTGAGGAAGAGACCTGTGAGGAAGAGACCTGTGCGGGGAGACCTGTGAGGAAGAGACCTGTGAGGAAGAGACCTGTGAGGGGAGACCTGTGAGGAAGAGACCTGTGAGGGGAGACCTGTGAGGAAGAGACCTGTGAGGGGAGACCTGTGAGGAAGAGACCTGTGAGGGGAGACCTGTGAGGAAGAGACCTGTGAGGGGAGACCTGTGAGGGGAGACCTGTGAGGGGAGACCTGTGAGGACGAGCGACCTGTGAGGAAGCGGACGAGCACGGTGATGGGAAGAGACCTGTGAGGGGAGACCTGTGAGGAAGAGACCTGTGAGGGGAGACCTGGAGGAAGAGACCTGTGAGGGGAGACCAGTGAGGAAGAGACCTGTGAGGGGAGACCTGTGAGGAAGAGACCTGTGAGGAAGAGACATGTGAGGAAGAGACCTGTGCGGGGAGACCTGTGAGGAAGAGACCTGTGAGGGGAGACCTGTGAGGAAGAGACCTGTGAGGAAGAGACCTGTGAGGAAGAGACCTGTGAGGGGAGACCTGTGAGGAAGAGACCTGTGAGGAAGAGACCTGTGAGGAAGAGACCTGTGAGGAAGAGACCTGTGAGGAAGAGACCTGTGAGGGGAGACCTGTGAGGAAGAGACCTGTGAGGGGAGACCTGTGAGGAAGAGACCTGTGAGGAAGAGACCTGTGAGGAAGAGACCTGTGAGGAAGAGACCTGTGCGGGGAGACCTGTGAGGAAGAGACCTGTGAGGAAGAGACCTGTGAGGGGAGACCTGTGAGGAAGACACCTGTGCAGGGAGACCTGTGAGGAAGAGACCTGTGAGGAAGAGACCTGTGAGGGGAGACCTGTGCGGGGAGACCTGTGCGGGGAGACCTGTGAGGAAGAGACCTGTGAGGAAGAGACCTGTGCGGGGAGACCTGTGAGGAAGAGACCTGTGCGGGGAGACCTGTGAGGAAGAGACCTGTGAGGGGAGACCTGTGAGGAAGAGACCTGTGAGGGGACACCTGTGAGGAAGAGACCTGTGCAGGGAGACCTGTGAGGAAGAGACCTGTGAGGAAGAGACCTGTGAGGAAGAGACCTGTGAGGGGAGACCTGTGAGGAAGAGACCTGTGAGGGGAGACCTGTGAGGAAGAGACCTGTGCGGGGAGACCTGTGAGGAAGAGACCTGTGCGGGGAGACCTGTGAGGAAGAGACCTGTGAGGGGAGACCTGTGAGGAAGAGACCTGTGCGGGGAGACCTGTGAGGAAGAGACCTGTGCGGGGAGACCTGTGAGGATGAGACCTGTGCGGGGAGACCTGTGAGGAAGAGACCTGTGCGGGGAGACCTGTGCGGAAGAGACCTGTGCGGGGAGACCTGTGCGGGGAGACCTGTGAGGGGAGACCTGTGAGGAAGAGACCTGTGCAGGGAGACCTGTGCGGGGAGACCTGTGCGGGGAGACCTGTGCGGGGAGACCTGTGAGGAAGAGACCTGTGCGGGGAGACCTGTGAGGGGAGACCTGTGCGGGGAGACCTGTGAGGAAGAGACCTGTGCGGGGAGACCTGTGAGGAAGAGACCTGTGCAGGGAGACCTGTGCGGGGAGACCTGTGCGGGGAGACCTGTGCGGGGAGACCTGTGAGGAAGAGACCTGTGCGGGGAGACCTGTGAGGAAGAGACCTGTGCAGGGAGACCTGTGAGGAAGAGACCTGTGAGGAAGAGACCTGTGCGGGGAGAGCTATGAGGGAGGACCTGTGCAGGGAGACCTGTGAGGGGAGACCTCTGCAGGGGGAGACCTGTGTGGGGAGACCTGTGAGGAAGAGACCTGTGGGGGGAGACCTGTGAGGGGAGACCTGTGCGGGGAGACCTGTGCGGGGAGACCTGTGCGGGGAGACCTGTGAGGAAGAGACCTGTGCGGGGAGACCTGTGAGGAAGAGACCTGTGTGGGGAGACCTGTGAGGGGAGACCTGTGAGGGGAGACCTGTGCGGGGAGACCTGTGCGGGGAGACCTGTGAGGAAGAGACCTGTGCGGGGAGACCTGTGAGGAAGAGACCTGTGTGGGGAGACCTGTGAGGGGACACCTGTGAGGAAGAGACCTGTGCAGGGAGACCTGTGAGGAAGAGACCTGTGAGGAAGAGACCTGTGAGGGGAGACCTGTGCGGGGAGACCTGTGAGGAAGAGACCTGTGAGGAAGAGACCTGTGAGGGGAGACCTGTGAAGAAGAGACCTGTGCGGGGAGACCTGTGAGGAAGAGACCTGTGCGGGGAGACCTGTGAGGAAGAGACCTGTGAGGGGAGACCTGTGAGGAAGAGACCTGTGCGGGGAGACCTGTGAGGAAGAGACCTGTGCGGGGAGACCTGTGAGGATGAGACCTGTGCGGGGAGACCTGTGAGGAAGAGACCTGTGCGGGGAGACCTGTGCGGAAGAGACCTGTGCGGGGAGACCTGTGCGGGGAGACCTGTGAGGGGAGACCTGTGAGGAAGAGACCTGTGCAGGGAGACCTGTGCGGGGAGACCTGTGCGGGGAGACCTGTGAGGAAGAGACCTGTGCGGGGAGACCTGTGAGGAAGAGACCTGTGCGGGGAGACCTGTGAGGGGAGACCTGTGCGGGGAGACCTGTGAGGAAGAGACCTGTGCGGGGAGACCTGTGAGGAAGAGACCTGTGCAGGGAGACCTGTGCGGGGAGACCTGTGCGGGGAGACCTGTGCGGGGAGACCTGTGAGGAAGAGACCTGTGCGGGGAGACCTGTGAGGAAGAGACCTGTGCAGGGAGACCTGTGAGGAAGAGACCTGTGAGGAAGAGACCTGTGCGGGGAGAGCTATGAGGGAGGACCTGTGCAGGGAGACCTGTGAGGGGAGACCTCTGCAGGGGGAGACCTGTGTGGGGAGACCTGTGAGGAAGAGACCTGTGGGGGGAGACCTGTGAGGGGAGACCTGTGAGGGGAGACCTGTGCGGGGAGACCTGTGCGGGGAGACCTGTGAGGAAGAGACCTGTGCGGGGAGACCTGTGAGGAAGAGACCTGTGTGGGGAGACCTGTGAGGGGAGACCTGTGAGGAAGAGACCTGTGTGGGGAGACCTGTGAGGGGAGACCTGTGAGGAAGAGACCTGTGTGGGGAGACCTGTGAGGGGAGACCTCTGCAGGGGGAGACCTGTGTGGGGAGACCTGTGAGGAAGAGACCTGTGGGGGGAGACCTGTGAGGGGAGACCTGTGAGGGGAGACCTGTGCGGGGAGACCTGTGAGGAAGAGACCTGTGCGGGGAGACCTGTGAGGAAGAGACCTGTGTGGGGAGACCTGTGAGGGGAGACCTGTGAGGAAGAGACCTGTGTGGGGAGACCTGTGAGGGGAGACCTTTGCAGGGGGAGACCTGTGTGGGGAGACCTGTGAGGAAGAGACCTGTGCGGGGAGACCTGTGCTGGGAGACCTGTGAGGGGAGACCTGTGAGGAAGAGACCTGTGCGGGGAGACCTGTGAGGAAGAGACCTGTGTGGGGAGACCTGTGAGGGGAGACCTGTGAGGAAGAGACCTGTGTGGGGAGACCTGTGAGGGGAGACCTCTGCAGGGGGAGACCTGTGTGGGGAGACCTGTGAGGAAGAGACCTGTGCGGGGAGACCTGTGCTGGGAGACCTGTGAGGGGAGACCTGTGTAGGGAGAGACCTGTGCGGGGAGACCTCTGCTGGGGAGACCTGTGTGGGGGAGACCTCTGCTGGGGAGGCATATGCAGGGGAGACCTATGCCGGGGAGACCTGATGGGAGGATGTGTAGCTCCTTTGCATGACCTCCTTCCCTGCACTTGAGGTGGAGGAAGAGGCCCCAGCAGCTCACTCTGCGTGTGGTTGACATGTGAACATGTCCTGTGTGCCAGGCCGGTTCTCATGGCCACATATCTTATATCACTTAATCCTCAGGACAACTAAATTCTGAGGTAGATACTATTTTTAGCTTCATTTACAGAGGAGGGAACCTTGAGGCTCAGAGAAGCTGAGTATGTTTCCCAAGGTCAGACAGTAAGTAATAGAATTATTAAGTCCTGGCTGGTTTGGCTCAGTGGTTAGTGCGTCAGCCTGCGGACCAGAGAGTCCTGGGTTCGGTTCCCGCTAAGGGCATGTACCTCGGTTGCAATTTGTCCCCTGCCCCGGTTGGGGTCGTGTGGGTGGCAGCCACTTGATGTGTCTCTCTCACATTGATGTTTCTCTCTGTCTTCCCCCTCTCTCCCTCCCGCTTTATCTGAAGATAAATGGAAAAATGTCCTCAGGTGAGGATTAAAAAAAAAAGAATTAGTAAAAAAAATTCAGGCCCATAGCCTTTTCTCTTAATCACATCTCTACACTGCTTGAGGATCTCAACAGGGGCTGGAGGAATCCAACGTAAATCAGCAGTTCTCTTCTCTAGGCTTTTAAAATACTGAATTTTCAATAGGACCCAGGCTAAGTAGCATTTTTTATCTCGACGAGAGCAAACTGTGTACGTGGTCTCCGTGGTATCCCAACATTTTCCTTTAAGTGACCTCTGCCCTCCAGTAGAGCAGCGCCCGTTGGTCAGGTTCTCCAGGGGAAGACCCTGGCATGGGGTTTGGTGCAGGTTGTCCATCAGGTTTCTGCTGAGGGGAGTGGGCACAGGGCACGAGCTCAGCCACCCGTGTGGGCCTGGAATAACATATGTGGTCTCGGAATTGTCCTGTGGTCGGCTGAAAGGACGGGGCCTTTACACCCCTGCCACCATCGGTGGGTGGATGTGGGACACCCCGGGGTGGGTATCCTCTTGGCAAGAGGGCTCTTGTTAGCTGAGGCAGACTCGGAGGAGCTGGTGGCATTCTTCGTTGCTGAGGCAGTGACTTCCATCTCATGCACATGAGCTGCACACCGGAGCTGTTCCTGTGTCACCCGTGGGTGTGTTGCTGTGCAGGCTCCGTCCCTGCTGCCTGGAGCTAGCTCTGGCCATTGACCTGCTCAGCTGCACATGTGCAAAGCCTCTCTCCGTTTCCTTTCAGGTTGGAAAGCTTATCCAAGAAGCAGCTGGAAGAAGTAATTTGAAGCGAGTAACTCTGGAACTTGGAGGGAAAAGTCCCAATATTATTTTTGCAGATGCTGATTGTAAGTCAACCACAGGCCTCATATGTGTCCCGGCACATGCCCTTCAGTGCTCTGTCGTATCTCTGCTTTTGACAGGACACCAAGAAAAAGATCTCTGAAGCTAGAGGCACTCGAGAAGAAGGATCTGGACCCTTCCTTCAAAGGGGAAAACAGTTTAATGTTGGGAAAGAGCACTTATCAATGGGGACCTGAATAGGGTTTATTTTCTAGACAGTGTAGAGCATTTTGATTGTGTGATGTTGCAGAGTAGGGGTGAAGGCCTGGTCAGTGTTGTGTAGTGGAAGGACCAATGCACTAAGCTTCTGAACACCTGGATCATAACCTCTCTGCCTAGACTCAAGAAATTCGAAACTTCTCTAGTGTGCCTGGTGGCTTTGTAGATCATTAAAAATTCTACTTCATTAGCCCTGCCCACATTTTTCCCAACCCTCGCCCCCTTCTCCTTTAGTTATCCCAACCTCTTTCTGTTGCTCCCATGCCTTTCAGTCAAGATGACGACACACTATGGTCAGTTCTGTTCGAACAGGCCCAAATTGGAGGTGATTAGGCCTTGGCAGGAGGACCTCAGGGAGGCTTGAAGCAGTAACCTAGGAAACCCCATGTCTCCAGGCAGGATACTGCCTCGCTCACTCTGCACAGGTGTGGTCTCTCTGTTTTGAAAAACTTTCCAGGGAATGAAATCCCAAAGCCTCTTTCAGTCATCCTTTCTCTCCACATCCTGCCAGGCCGAGCTGCTCCCCAGTTGCACCCCTGGAGGGAACAGAACACAGATTGCCTGAAGTTCAGCCCCAGCCTGGAATTTGCAAAGAGTTCAGCCTCAGCTTTATGCCAGATGTCAAGGGGATCAGAATTCTTACAGCTAAATCCTCCTGAGGAGTAGACACTTCATTGACATGATGTTGATGGATTGATTCAGTCATTTAGCAGCTAGCACACACCAGGTTTAATACTATCTTGAAGTATGAGATGGAAATGAAAGAGTTATCATAGGCTATTGTACAATTCCACGTAAATATAGAGGAAGTGTAATGTCTTTAAGAAAAAAAGCCATTGCTCTTACAATTTAATTCACCAAAATACTAAGTAAGCGTAACAGCCACAGGGCCCTATAGATTAGGGGTTGCAGTCACAGCCAAATGCTGGCACAATTGTGTTTATATGTCTAGATATTACACAGTGCTTTAAAAAAAACTACATGAGAAATACTGATCGCTGTTTTTTTCTTAAAATTGGAAATCTGGCCACCATGGGCTTATATCCAGCGTAGCAACAGCCAGGGCAGCGGCTTTCCCCCCCTCCCCCGCACGTCCCTCACGTCCCTCACAGCGTCCCACAGCCCGGCACAGTCACGCCCTTGCGCTCTGCCCAGCCCCGGATATGGGGATGGAGACTGTTACAGATGACGCGCTCCAATTCCTTTATTTACGGAACAAGAGAGGGACTCAAAGTGAAGATGTCCAAGTTAACATAGCAAGTAACATCAGGGTGTGTTAGAACCAGAACTCATTGCATTCTCAAGCTAATGCTTTTCGCTGTGTTACTCACGCTTCTGCTCTGTGTCAGCCTGACATGGTACCTGGGCCGTGGAGAGGGGAGGGAGGTGGCTCGGACAGGCCCCTCCGCAGGTGCAGCGGTGTTTCGAACACGACTGTTTCCTCTCACAGTGGACTATGCCGTGGAGCAGGCTCACCAGGGCGTGTTCTTCAACCAAGGCCAGTGCTGCACGGCGGGCTCGCGCATCTTCGTGGAGGAGTCCATCTACGAGGAGTTCGTGAGGAGAAGCGTGGAGCGGGCCAAGAGGCGCATAGTGGGGAGTCCCTTTGACCCCACCACTGAGCAGGGGCCTCAGGTAGAGAAGTCACAGATGTCCCTTTCTTTCCCTAACCCCTGGTGAGCACAGAAACTGGTCACTCTAGTGGGACCCCCAACAAAGCACCACCTTCCTTTTCCCGCTGCCTCCTTCCTCTTCTGCCTCGTCTTCATGGCTAGAAGTAGCTGGTGAGGCATCGCTTGTGTCTTAGGATTCTCTTTTCATTTCTGAATTTTATTTCTGAAACCTAAAGGCTTAGGGTTGCCTTAAGGATACTCTGAACTTTGGAGGTAAGTTGGACTCTCCCAGCCCTAAAGACCTACTTGTGACAAGTGACAAGTGACAAGATGGGTCTTGTGACTAGTGACAAGATGGGTCTTGACACTAGAGCCCGGCGCCAGCCTGGGCACTGGACTTCAGACATCCTTACAGAGGCCCAGGCGAGGAGGCCGGGCATCTCTCATTCTCAGACGCCACTGATCCTTTTTCCAGCTGCAAAGGGTTCTCCCCACCACCCTGACCTGCTGGGGAGATCATCTGTAGATAGTGGGTGTGAGGACATGCAGGGCTGTCTGCTTCCCCTCTGCCGTGCGGTTGTCCCTCCCTCGGCTCGTGCACTGTAGTGGGACGGGGAGGCCACCCAGCCCCGCAGCACGCACTCCAGTGCTGCAGCTGTCCGCGGTCCTCAGGGCGTATTCCAGGTGGAGTTCTGGTTTTAAGCTGTAGACAGACTGAGAATTTTTAAAGGAATACATGAACCGATCTCATCTAGGTTCTGGGGTTTTCTAATAGGAAACAGTGCCTCCTATGTTTTGGGGCCAGTTGAGAGAAGAAAGACATTCTAGCTGAGCATTCAAACTCAGGTGAATGTAGGTTTTTGTATCATTTACCATAATAATAGAGTGATAAGCCTATAACTTTGGGAAAGCAAGACTGACCTTATTTATGGAGTAGGAAACTCGCCCTCACTCTTCAAATGCAATTCTTCCCTCTAAAGGTGTAATAATTTCTTTAAAAACTTACCCCAATAGGATTTGATGTACCACGTAAAGAGGTGTGTGTTAACTCATGTATTGTTTTCATCTTTTTTGTATCAGTACAACTTGTCAAACTCTTCACTTGGTTATAGAAGGCAGTTATTCCTCACACAGTGAATAATCAATTCAGTAGTGTTTCCATCATTTAGAAACATTGTTTAAATCTTAAACTGATATTTCTGACTCAGCGGTATCATCAGAGACATTCACTTATTGGAACTCTTGGTATATTAGTTTAAACCATACAGATTTGCCATTTTTCATGGATCAAAAATATTTGAATAACAGCATTTCATATAATTTGACTAGGAAACATGAAGCTTTGAAAAAAATCACAAATGGTTCTTGAAAACGTGCATATTTCCTTTCTCATAGAAGATTTTACTTGGCGTAATTAAGTAATTTTTTTCTGCAGATTGATAAGAAGCAGTACAACAAGATCCTGGAACTCATCCAGAGCGGCGTGGCAGAGGGCGCCAAGCTGGAGTGTGGCGGCAAAGGGCTGGGCCGGAAGGGGTTTTTCATCGAGCCCACGGTGTTTTCCAATGTCACTGACGACATGCGGATTGCCAAGGAGGAGGTAAAAGTCAAGTACAGGATTCTAACGAAGGCCACTTCTCTTGGGATGGCTTCCAGAGCACTTCTAGTAAATGATATCAGAGTCGGACTACAGCAGTAAACATGGCTCTGGAATTCTCCGTTTCAAAGAGGAAGTTAAAAAGGCAGGGAAGTAGGTGACATGCTGCACGATTGCAGTTGTTAGGAGCCAACAGGACAAGCGGAATAGCCAGTTGTGGGGCACCGGGCTGTTCACCAAGAAAGAAAAGGCAGCCGGGCAGCCTCACATGTGTGCGGCAGAGGACCACGCAGACCAGCCTGCAGGCCAGCCGCTCACCCCAGACTCCCGGAGACGCCCCTGTGCCCGCCGCAGAGCCACGTGATGCCGGGGAGGGTGGCGCGTGGGGGTGTTAAACACACTTTCATGATAGACTCCTAGGTAATTTTATTCTGGGAAAGTTTGGGATATTTCAGTGTTGTGCTGCTGAGCTTAAACATTATTTAAATAACGAAGGCAGAGAAAGCTTGCTTTGAAATGTGGAAAGCAGGGGAAGGAATGGCAAAACAACCATGTGGGGTCAAACTATTTTGTTGCAGATCTTTGGCCCCGTTCAAGAAATTCTGAGATTTAAGACGATGGATGAAGTTATCGAGAGAGCCAATAACTCCGACTTCGGACTCGTAGCCGCTGTCTTCACCAATGACATCAACAAGGCCCTCACGGTGTCTTCTGCAATGCAAGCTGGGACTGTTTGGTAAGAGCAGCGTGTCGCCGTTCTGGCACAGCACGTCCCACAGGTGTGCAGAGGCCTCGCGGTTCTCCAGGGCCCGGGGAGAGTGCATGTGGCCTCTGGAAGGATGGGGAAGACCGAAAGCGCCAGACTGCGCCCTGAGAGGGGATGTGCTCTTTACTGGCTAGACCAGGAAATCAGAGTAAATCTTAAATTATAAATTTTTCATCTGGAAAAAAAGGGGCTAAAAATAAAACTTACAAAAGGAGTTTTGCACCTGGGGGGTTATTTCTGTGCAAGCAGAACGCACACTGACAATAATGCTATTTCCTTCTTTCAGGATCAATTGTTACAATGCCTTAAATGCCCAGAGCCCCTTTGGGGGATTCAAGATGTCTGGAAATGGGAGAGAAATGTAAGTGTCCGAAGTTGCTGGTGAGTGCAGAGAAACAGGGATTGTGAGTAGCAGCTGGGAGGAGCACTTCCATTCTCTCATTCACTGGACAAACATTGCTTTGAACATGCACCACTGTAAGCTAAGCACTGCGCTGCACGTGGCAAAGATGAGTAAACACAATTCTCTTACCTGAGGTGGGGATGGGAAAAATGAATGTGTCAGTAATTCCATATAATAAGGGCTGTTAGAGAAGAATGTCAAACATCTGGTACGTACAGAGGCAAAACCAACTAATTTTGCCTGGTGAGATCAGAGAAGACCGCGCAGAGAAGACGGCACCAGTTTCCGGAGCAGGCATTCCAGGCAGAGAGAGTAGCAAGAGCAAAGGCGCGAAGGTACAACGAACGTAGAACAGTCCGGGGACAAACCAGAGCGCGGTGTACTTAGAACACCGGTCACCCGCTGCTAGCCCAGGGCAGAGCTGGCCTGCGGAAACTTTAGCTTTGCCTCACAACATTTAAAAATCTTTACCTGCCATTCCAAAATGAGGAGGCTCTGAATAAGGCTAGATGCCTTGCTTATTTTCATCTCTCGGTGGCAACATTGCTGTAGCCGTGAGTTCTGCCGTTAGCCATTTCCCCCACCCTTCCGGTTGCTTTTGGGACCTGCATGCTGGTTGTCATTCACTTACACACACCTCATCCACTTACTTAGGTCACCTGTCAGCACCTGTCAGTTCTCTGAGTCTAGGAATGCAGAGTTAGGACACAGGATGGGTGAAGGGTTTAAACTGAATCTCAGAGGGCTTTAAGGGGCATTCTGTGGGAGCTGAGGAGACCCCAGCATTTTTAAGGCCAAGGGTCCTGGCACATAGAGATGTTTTGGCAGAAATTATGGGAAGAAGACCCACTAGAAGGAATTTGTATTAACAATAATGATACCATTAATTAAATGTCTGATCTACATTTTGCTATGCTAACTTCTCTCCTAACATTGTCTGATTCGATTTTCACAGTGATCTCATAGGGTAAATACTCTTCTTTATATTACAGACGGTTCAGAGGAGGAGCAAGGGTTAGAGGGGCTGCATAGCTTGCCCAAGTTGTGTGGCCAGTAAGGGACAGATCTGCGATTTGGACCGAGGTCTCGAGGAATATCCAGCCAAGGAAGCACGGGGGCCGGGCGTGAAGACTACGAGCCCAGGGTCAGGGCAGAGTCCTGCAGTGCTAAGGACCCGAAACCCGGGACAGAAGCAGAGGAAGTCGAGACTCAAGGGGGATTTTATTTGCAGGCTTCAGAATCCATATATACATGGATTTTTTGAGTGGCATTCAGAGGATTAATGATAGCCAGGGTCTTCCTGATCTGATACCCACCCACATAATCCAAAAAAATATTTTTTTTTATTTTGAAAGGCGCTGGATCCGTGCTTTCTAAATCCTGCGACTCAGAGAGGAGACGCCGTCCGTGCCCTTTCTCTCAGCCATTGCTGGATGCATCTTTTTTTTTTGAGCAAATGCTTAGTTCACAGTCAATCTGCTAACAAGTATTGAGCATGTACTGTGTGCAAAGCATGATGCTTGGTCAGGGTGGAGGGAGATGCAGCTCAGTAAGGTACTTAAAATCGTGTTAGATAAAAGAAATGCACGTCATCGAAAGAATCAGGAGGATTCCAGGAAAGACTGCTAAGTGCCAGAGGAGTCCAAGACCACCGTGAGCTGGAGAAGTCTGGGAAACCTCCAGACAGGATCTAGTGTGGAGACTGGAATTTAGGTAGAGGGAAATCTTTTTTCAGGGTTGGTGGAGGAAGAAAGTGGCGGTGTGGGAGGAGTGAGTAAAGGCATTGTGGGAGAACTGTGTGGTTAGGGGGAAGTGCCGTGAACCCATAAGACTAACACAGAGGGTTCCCATGCTTTAGATACTTTAGCTGGTCATCCTAGCCTCTAGCCATTAAACCATAAAGTAGGTGTAGCTTTGAGGCAAAGAGCAGAGTTTCTGGAATCATCCTGCTCAGATGTGTATCCTGGCGGTAGAGCTTAAACCTGTGCAGCTTTGGGCAAATTACTTAATCTTACTAAGCCTCAGTTTCCTCATCTATAAGATGGGTATAATTATAGTAGCTACCTAGAGGGTTACCGTGAGGATTAAATGTTAGGATTAAGGATGCCAAACAACCAATACAGTGTCTGGCAAACCTTCAGAAAATGTTAGTTGCTGTCGTCGTTACTGATCAAGTACTGTAGATGAGTGTTAGGTAGGTGATCCGCCTTTTTCCTAATAAACATATTACTTTGGAAATGTGGCAGAATTTTTTCTAAATTCCAGCTAATGTCACCAGGTTCCATTCTGTCTCTGGCAATGCCAGGGAGGACCTGCTCTTGCTTGAGCCTTTGCTTCTGGCCTTCAGTTCCTCTCACTTGCTTTACAGCCAGAACCCATGACCAACCTCGGCCCTGTCTGCTTAGTTATTGGTACTCCTCAGCTTTTATAAAGTCTTCATACCCTCTCCTTAACTTGACAGGGCCTTCCTTTCTGCTTCCGTTTGTTGAGCTGCATTCAACTTGTCGTTTCATTTCCTGCCCCCGGGCTTGTACTCCCCAGGCTCTGAGAGTTTGGAGCAGTCGCTGGTTCTGGGAATGCTTTTCACATCGGCTTTCCTGTTACAGATCATTAACAGGGCGAATCATGGGCATAAAATATACTTGTAATAAATCAGTGCTGGTTGATGGCTCCCCTCTTCGTGGTCAAGCCTCCTGCCAGGGTTCAGGCTGTGACATTGTCCAGGTCCAGTCTGTTCTGATCAGAAACATCAGAAAGGTGGTCCAGGAACAGTTTGGCTGTGTCAGAACCACCCAGAACAGTGGCCCAAGACACTGAAGAACAGCCTCCCGATGCGTCTTGTAGGTGCTGTAGTGACTTGGCTGTCCCAGTGCAGTTAAAAATAATTAGGAGACAGAACCCTTTGATGAGACTCACTTCATCTTGTCTCAATTATATGCTTCTTTGTCCCTGCCTGCCCCCTCCCCCCGAGTGTTTCTCTCTCATAACTAACCCAGAGTGGTAGGAAACGCTTCGGATGAAAGAGCCTGCCCTGTCCTGGCCGCCACTCTTCTCATTAATACAGTCCTAGAACCTCCACTTAACCTGCGTGTGGAGGGAATCGTCAACTCATGGCCAGCAGACTCCGTGCAGCTTTGGTCCCTGATGTCTCCTTGCCCACCTCTGTGTGGAACAGAGACAGGAGTTAGCACTTTTTGGAAACAAGCTCCATGGAGGGCCAGGGAGCTGCTGAGTTCTCCCCCAAGGAGAGCTGTGGAGAGGGCTGCCCTCTGCAGGTACTCTGACGGGCTGGCCTCTGGCTCCGGGTCAGAGGCTTGGGCTGTTTCCCTCCGTTCTGCCTGTTCAGCTAACCCATCCGTTTCACTTGCTCCGCCCTTCCTTTCCTTCCTCATTTAGGCTCCTCTGAGACAGGGGGCCATAGAGCCCAAGATATAAAATATGTGTCACAGTCAAGGGACTGGAAAGGAAGCGTGAACCTCAGCCTTTTAAAAACAAAGGACACAAGTTTTGAAGATGAGAAGCATCGTTAGGATACCCTAAATAAAGGCTTCCCGGGATCACAGGTGTGCGCCTGCGCATTGTGCGTGGATGCTCACACAGCGGCTGGGGCACAGAAAGTCCCTGCACCGGGGGGAGGGGCACGCTAGGCATGCCCGTCTGGGGCCCCTCTCCGTCTGAACTAGCGGGTCTGGGCTAGGGCCCAGGATCTGCATTTTCAACAAGCTTCGGGAATGATTCTGATGCAGGCGGCCTGAGACCCTGCTCTGGGAGATGCTGCTGTGCCAAAGGACAGGCAGGGAAACAACGCCCTGAGCAGAAATCCCTGTTTGTTTACTGGGTTCCTTCAGCACTGGCTGAGAGACACCCAAATCGAACATCTTACCTCATCTGCAGGCGTGCCAGTTTGGTTCACTTTAGGAATACAGCCTGGTCTGGCTGAGACACAGGAATTCAGCCTCCTAAGGGCACCTGTGCCCTGACAACATTGTCCAGCCGCGAAGGTGACCACACACAGTGGCCACGGCACCTTAGTAACAACGTACCTGCTGTTCCCTTGGCTTGGAACTGTGTGCACTATAGACATTAATTGGATTAAGCAAATTTAAGTAGATTTGAGAGGAAGACCCTGGAATGAGATGGCAAACGGACTGAAGACTGAGCCTCAGGCTTTCTGAGACCTCACAGCTGTGTTTCTGAAAGTGGGGCAAGTAACTGCCTGTATGACAGTCTCCTGGGTTCCTCCCAGACCCTCAGAAACACTCTCCAGTGGGGTGGGCAGGAGTCTGCACCTGAAGCCAGCTTCGTGGGTGATACTTATGTGTGCTGAAGTTCGAGAACCACTGCCTGAGAGAGGCCTGGTACCGAAAGGATGGACGTCAGACAGCCAGTGAGGGCGAAGCCGGGCTGGCGCGCCTGTCTGCTGACCCCCAGCTGATGCTCTTCCTGCACCCTGTCCATTGCCCTAGGACCTCTCACTGGCTTTCTTTGAGGCCCTGGGCCCAGGGGCAGTGCTGCCTTTGTGGCAGATTTGAGTCTGCTCCTTGGTCTCGAGGAGCCTGTGTGTGGATCGTGGCTGCAGGTGGCTGCCTGGGACCCAGACGAGGATTACCTCCAGTCCAGCAGGATTTCAAAGTCATTGCACACCCAAAGATTCTGGGATCCAACCGTCACACTTGGAAGCAACCATATGCTTTCTGTAGACTTCCTGTGGTCTGCTTCCTGCAGACTCTGACCCTGTAGACTTCCTTGTGTGTCTCAGCCTGGTCAGGGTCTGTCCGCCCTAAGTGCGTGCACAAGCCAGGAACCAGAAGGGAGTGACCTTGCCTCAGGCAGGAGGCAGATGATGTCCGTGGTGAAGGGCACACTCAGATTGCCCAAGGGCAGGAAAAAGTTCAGAGAGAGCTGAGCAGGTAATGGAGACTCAGAGCCTGGATAGAGCTGATGGGGAACTGTATACCAAGTGGGGCAATCCCAAATTTATTCTTCCCGTTCCTGTAAACAAAGTGGCCAGTGCAGATGAGAGAGCAGCACGCTGGCCCCAGCCTCCCCTGGCTGCTCTCTGATGTCCGGGGGCAGCGGGCATGTCCGCTCAGGTGGCCTTGGTGCTGGAGGACCTGCTGGCAGGGGACCGGAGCCTTGTGTAGGGATGCAGGGACTCCCGGGAGGAAGCAGCATGAGTCCTGTAGAGCAGGCCTCGCTGTGAAGTCGGCACAGTAACTTTGGCTTTTGTGTGGTCCTGTTGTTAAGACAGCCCTTCTCAGCCCTCTCTTATTCAAATACATCTCTGCGTGCTCCTTCACTTTATTTTCCTAGCAGAGATGGTGTGCCAACAGGGTGGGGCTGGGGGATGGGATGGGAAGAGCCCTCCCTCCCTGGAGCTGGTACTGTGCGCATGCCCTGGGTTTGGTGGAGGGCAGGGGGCTCTGTCAGCGAGAGCCGGGCCCTGGGGGAGGCAGATGCTCCAGCGGCCCTCCCGCTGTGACGGGCTGTGGTCAAAGTGGGTCCAGGGCTCTGTAAACAGCAGGATGGGAGCCGCTTCTGCTGAGCGGCAGGACAAGCTTCACAGAATCGTAACTTTACAAAGAATAGAAGGGGAGAACGAAAGCATTTTAAAGAAAAAGACAGAACATGCTTGGTTTTACAGTAAGAGAGAGAAAAGAAAGAAAAGGCTATTAACAAGAGGTGACGATGAGAGGGGCTAGAGAAGAAAAGTGAAGAAAAATAGCAACATAGCCACAAGGCTTGACTCCCGGCAGGGTCCTTAAGGCAGCGGTTGGAATGACTCTGAGCATGTCCTGAGGGCCAGGAAGGGCTGCCCCAGTCTCCTGTCGCTGCCTGGACAGGTGACCCTGCTCCACCCCTCCCTCTCAGCCCAGCCACCTGCGGGCTCCTCAGAGGCTGGGGCTAATTACTGCGTTTCTCCTTTGCCCAGCCAGAGCAGTGCTGCCCAAAGTAATTGCTCGGTTATGTGTGTTTACCAAGAATGACAACCCTTGATCTATGACCAAGCTCCCAGAGGCTCTGTGAGCCAGGAAGGAAAGTGGCCAAAGGAGAGACTGGGACAGGGCTGGGGAAACAGCTTATTACCACTTCTCAGTTCATTTTTAGTGCTTTTGATGACTAAGGGCTACGGACAGTGTTTATTCAGGATTGTGTATGGGAGGCATTTCAGATGATTGGTGCTCTTCCGTGGTAGGCCTTTGGGTGTCATTTCCACGTATTAGATCTGGGACCAATGAGAAGGAATTTCGAATCCCAAACAGAGTGGCCCTCAGCCTGGGATCTCATGGTCCTCTCAGTCAGGGTGGACTGGCTCTGGGGCCGCGACCAGAGCACAGACGTGTCCTGGGTGTCCAGCGGCAGGGACAGGGTTTGCAGAGGAAACACAAGTGTTCCTGAAGAGCCAGGGCGCCTGCGGTAGAAACAGCCCCGGTGTTAGAGACCTGGGTCTGCCGCTGCCCACAGTGCCCACCCAGGGGCACAGCTGGGTCCCTGGTGACTGCTGGCCAGGACGGACCTCCAGGCCCATTTCTCTGAGTAGTTGGGAGTTGTGGCCTTCCTGTGTGATATTGTGAGGACAAATCGTGCTGTACCTTTAAGAAACAGTGACTGCTTATAACATGACTGCTTTCCCTGAGATGGAGGCTGGGTTTCCGTCGGGAATTCTCACCTGACCCCCAGGGCCCCTGTTAGCAGGTGGTGAGCTGCACCCTCCCAGGACTGACCCTCGCTCAGTGACACTGCCCCTTTCTGCTTTTCAGGGGAGAGTTCGGTTTGCGAGAGTACTCCGAAGTTAAGACTGTGACGGTAAAGATCCCCCAGAAGAATTCCTAAGAAGGCCAAGAAGGAAGGTGAAGGCCCGCCTGCACGACCCCCTCTGCTTTCCCTGTGGGGCCCAGCTCTCAGGAATCCAAGTTGATACTCGGTCCTTATTTAAAGATTTAAATGATAACATACAGCCAGGCTGGTCACTGCGTCACTACAGCAGACTGGCTGGGTACAGTTTCTTGGCACTCTGTAAGGGATCCCCTCATGATACCAAATAGGGGAAGGTGGGGTGAAGGTCAGAGGGGTAACTGTTGGCACATCGGGGTATCTTTCTGAAGGGGGCTGAACGAGGGAGCCGTGTTACCTGATGCCTTCCGTCCCAAAGAGCGCGCCCCTGAAGGAAGCGGCCTTTCCACGGCCCCGCCCTCCTGCCCAGGCCTCCTGCTCGCCCTCCCTCCTGCTCCTTGCGCTCGCTCGCTCGCTCGCAGTGGGCTCATGGGGCAGATGTTTGGGCCGGGAACAATTTTCCAAGGTTTTGCAGCCAAATTACCGTTTCATGTCATCCATTTCTTCAAAGCAAAACATGAAATGGTTTTAGTTAGAGCCAGGCCAGGCTGAAAATGCCAGAAGCTGTACCCTGCAGACATGAGGAAGGAAGGAAGGACGTGGGAGATTCCAGACCCAGTGTTTTCTTGCCTCCATGAGTGACACGAGTGAAAGCTCAGGCAGGCGATGCAGAGGCCCGCCGGCTCGGCCCTGCGCGGGCTGTGTGTCGGGGGCTGTGTGCGCAAGTGCATTTAATTCCTTCTCGGTTATCCTAGAATGAGGCAGGGAGGGGCTTGTTTTCATAGATTACTAAGATCTTTCCCAAAGTTTATCTTTAAAATCAACCAAAACAATCTGAGTAGGCTCGAGAATTTGGAAAATGCTGGGTGCCTTGCAGAAATAACTTTGTTCCAATACCGCTGGACAGTTCTTAACCAAGTGACTTATCTCTGCAGCTGGATCTATTGCTTCTCCTGCCTCCCAGCCCCTGCCGCACACAGCTGCTACTCCCAGTGCTCTGGGTGTTACCTTGGCCTCTCAGGCCTTAAAATGCCCCAATCCCACTGGCAGGAACCTTGGAAAATCTGGCCAAGCTGGGAGGTTTTCTTTTCCATTTGCATGGTTTCGATGCGCCCCGACTGCCCTGCCACACCAGAGCTCTGCCGCAGCAGTGCCCCCGTGCAGCCTCCTGTGTCCCGACGGGGCGGCGGGAAGCCGCTGGCTCCCCCGTCCCAGCCACGCAGGCCTCTGCTTCCCAGGGAGCCCACGGTGTGATGTGCGTGGTGTCCGCTTTCTCTCCTCCTTCCCTCCTTCCAGCTGCCACATCCAACCCCATCTCTCACCTAGATGAAGATCATTTATTTAAAAGTACTAAACATAACCTAGAGTATATGGAATATGGGCAACACATATATAGCCTTCTGTATTTAACTGTGTTCTGCTTTCTAACCACGCCGGTGTTCTCTTTCTAACCCTTGTCTGCTCGTGGCACTGTAAAGGAGTCTCCACTTGCTGTGATTTACGAACGACAGTGCACTCAGTGGCCGATGCTCTGAGAGATGCCACGTTTCTGAGTTCTCCACGTGAATGTCATGCTCCCCTATAGCGTGTCCCAGTGAACATATCCAGTAACCAGCTAGTTACCCTGGAACTGCAATATAGAATGTGAAAATGAAGATTTATTTCTTTTAATTTACTTAAAAAGAAACCTCTGTGCTAGCAATAAAGCATTTATATTGTGTACTCCTTGGGACTCGGACTGTTTACGAATTTGTGTCGGACAGAGCACATCAGAGTCCTCCTCTCGGCTGCTGGGCTCCGCAGCCCGCCGTCTGGCGGCCGAGCAGAAGCCCGGGAGGGCATTGTCGCAGAGCCGAAGGGCAGACAAGGCCCTTATTTTCTGACACTATTTAGGACCTGCGTGTGCAGACAAGGTAACTATCTCTGAAATACATGAAGTGACCATTTTCATTCAAAATAACCTGTAAAAGCTAAAATGGGGAGGGATTTTGGGGGCCTTGTTCTCACACACATGGCCACGTGATGACAGCTACTGCTGGTGGCTTTAGCAGTGGCTTCGTTTTTATTCACCACAGCAAAACGAAGCCAAAGCTGACAGCCTGATGCAGCATCGGTGCTGCCGTTAGACGGAAGCTGAAGGGCACCGCACAGCCGGCAGGGGCTTGTCTGCTCGCCCAGTTCTCAGAGCGGAGCTTTGGGGAGCTTTCTGTAGACCTGCGCGTCCCTTCCTTCCAGCCCTTGGGATCTGCACCCAAGTCCTGGTCCAGTGAGACAAAGACAGGAACTCGGGCCTGGAGAGCCGTGTCGCTGTGCCTGGGATCCCTGCCCTGACTCCCACGGCCCTGGGGTGGGTCGCAGGGTTGTCCCCGGGCTCTGGGACGAACTCGATAGGTGAGGGGCAGGCTTCCCGCTCGTCTCCCTCGGGGTCAGGAAGAAAACGCGATGGAGATGGGCATAGACTGACCATTTGAAAGGCCTCTGGACAGGTGCCTTTGTAGAGTTTCTTTGTAGCAGGGATCGGAACAAGATAGACATACTTTGTTCTGCAAAGCAGAAAATTCCTCAAACTTCATCCCTTTATGATTCTGACATGAAGGCAAATGAAGGTGGTGTTACAAATAGCATCACAACACACAGACACTCACCGGTCATTGGTCATCAGCACTATGTATTTATGGTCTTTTTTTTTTTTTTACTGTTAGCCCTTGAGATTTCCATTGTATCTTTTCCTCCAAAACATCCTCAGTGCATTCATATTAACAATTTCATTCTTTTCCATGACATTTTAGTTAATAAAGGGCAAGAATGTTATAATGTAGGGACCAAAGGACAGAAAGAAAGAGAATCCACTGGACTGTAGGAAAACAGGAAGGCACCCGAGAAAAGAGGACAATTAAAGAAGTTAGTGGACGAGATGGGTTTTGACAGGAAGGAACGTAATTTCCATAGTCAAAGGAGCAAAAGGAGGCATTTCTGGTCGAAGCTCCAGAGGTGAGGCCGAGGCACCCCTGTGCGATGGTGAGGAGACGGACTGGCAGGAGCAGGCCTCACGTGCCGGCAGGTGGCCAGCTTGCAGAGGACCTGGGGGGCCAGCTGCTGCCCCGGGGTCATGTCCCAGAAAGCAGGGTGTCTCCAGATGAGGCCGTGGCTAGAGCACACTGGTGTGGAGCAGAGCAGAGGGGAGGAGAAGCAGATTGATTATGAGGCGAGTTCGGGGTAGTGCTTGCTTGTCGTGGGGGTGAGAGGAAGGAAACAGACCGGTGCAGAGATCACCAGCACCCGATGAATGAAGACGAAAGGACAGAAAGTCAACGAGCCCAGTTGGGTGAGGACATGGCAGTGCCACTGTCCCAGAAGTTGAAACATGGAACAAAGTTTTGGGGAAATAGGCTTACCATCAGGCTTTGGACACATACATTTGGGGGTGACAGAGATATCCAGACAGAAATCTCCAGCAGGCATTAGGCAACAGGGGTTTGGAACCTGGCTCTGCTGACCAGACGATGTCCAGACGGTGGACGTAAAAGTGATGGTTCTGTGTAGAGAGGATGCAACAATAAAAACAACCAGGGCCAGGGAAAAGCTGCTGAACAAAGAAATGGAGGCTCTTGTGGGGAGTAGGAGGAAATCGCATCAGGTGTGCCCCACAGGAACCCGGGGGAGAGCTCAAGAAAGCAGGCAGCAGAAAGGACGAGAGAATACAGATGAGACGTCGCAGTAGGAGATTTTGAATTTCTTCGTTTATGAAGTAGAGGCTGCAGGTGTCTGTTGGCTGAGGAGGCATAAGCAGCCCATGCCAAGTGCGTGCTTGACCCTGTGCGCCAGGAGGCCTTCGCGGGGTCTCCGGTGCTCAACAGCCGAAGTCGGCAGGCCCCCTGGATCCATAGCACAGACTCTATACCAACGAGCCAGCACCCCTTCAGAGCCCCATGGAAAGGCAGGACACGAACCCACAATCAGTACACGCCACATCGAGTTAGAAGAAACTAGAGCTGGAAGAGCTGGCTGAGGTCAGGAAGGAGGAGACCGGCCTTGGAGGAAGTGTCAGTGCGAGCAGAGTTTGGAAAGGGGCAAAGAGGACAGAGCGAGACTGCTGGGGGGAACCTCCACACAGACGCGGCCCCTGCGTACTGGCCGACCTCTCGGTCGAGGAGGGTGCAGCTGCAGTCAGGACATGCTCCTTGACAGCCATGTGTATTTATGTAGCCACTTACTCGTTCATTTTCTAGGCTTTTATTTTTTTGTTGACTGCTATCCTAGATATATTTAAAGTCAGTCACAAGAATGCTTAAAATATAACAGGAACAATAAAGTCAACAAAATCACATGAATTAAAAATGGGAGTTAAAAAAAAAAGGTTGGAAAGGAATGCAGCCCGAATGAGGCTGAAATGCACATTCCACAGAGTCCATCACTTCCTAGGGGTCCCGATGTCTGATGAGGGAAACCTGACAGCGCTGACCAGCCAGCCTCCCTGCCCCGACCCTCCCGCCACAGACGTTCACCGTGCCAGGCTCTGGCACAGGTGCCAGGGTACAGGTGCTACGAGCCAGGCGGGTAAAACTTGGAGTGTAACAGGGTCGCTCACAGCCAAGAGTCAGTGTCTCTGTGCTGTCCCGCTGGAACTCCTTGCCAGGCAGGCGTGCGGTTTCTGCCATGTCCTGGTGCCTGGTAGTCCAGAGAGCCAGTTTCGCCCACAGAAGTGGCCGACGGCAAGGTGGCAGGGTGAGAAGCATGAGTCCGAGGGTCAGAAAAGTGCTCAGAAGTCCTCACTTGAGCCCCGTACCGGCCACGTCCGAGCCGTGAGTCTGGGTAAGTCACTTCACTCCCGTGGGCCGCCACTTCCCCGGTGGGATCGCGACCACCGCCCGCCCGCGCCTCCCAAGGCCGCGAGGATTCGCCGTCACGGCGGACGCATTTCTTCAGCTGGTCGGACGGCAGGCTGCACACACACAACTTTAGACAACAGCAAAAAGTAAAAACAGAAGGATTCTGTTGCTTTGCTGATCGGCCTGTAGGACATGAGAATTCGTCATTTCTCCCTCGGCTCTGAGGCCATCGGCTAGACCCTGACTCCCAGGATAGGTTTCCCGTGGGTTTCCAGGGCGGTGGATCCCCGCGGGATTCCTCCGGGCAGCGAGGGGCAAGGGACAAAAATGCAGCTTCGATGTCCCCCAAGTTTTGGTCCTGCACATCCAACACATTGTTCAGATGCCTTGTAAGGTGCCCCCGGACCCGAAGACCCTGGCCGGGCTGTGGGTGCCACCCTAGTGTCTTACACAGCAGGTGCTCCTGGTGGAGACGGCCTGGGAGCGAGCATGGGCAGTCCGCCCTGGAACAGCCTGAAGTCCCGTCCTGAGCAGCACACTGTCTAATTCTCACTTGGTTATCGGCCAGATTAAAAG